TGGAACGGTTGAGAACGCGTTCCAATTTTATTCCAAGCGTTTTTTTTCTTAAAAAAAGTTTTCTACGAAAGTGGAACGCGTTCTCGACCGTTCCATTTTGGAACGCGTTCCAATTTTATCGCAGGCGTTTTTTTTTTAAAAAAAAGTTTTCTACAAAAGTGGAACGCGTTCTTGGCCGTTATCATTTTGAAATGATGAATAACGCGTTCCTAAGCCAGCTTTTCCTATGAGAATCCCGGAGAGTCCGGAATGATTAAGAAAACTTCTAAGGAGCCTTTGAGAAGCCAGAAAAAAGACGATAAATCCCTGTAGACTGCCTAGGAACTTCGTTTCCAAAGGAAGTTTCTAGGCAGTCTACAGGGATTTATCGTCTTTTTTTCTGGCTTCTCAAAGGTTCCTTAGAAGTTTTCTTAATCATTCCGAACTCTCCGGGATTCTCATAGGAAAAGCTGGCCTAGGAACGCGTTTTTCACAAAGGAATTTAAGAAGGGATTTACTAGATTTCTATATCCTTACACAAACATTTAATAAAGATGAACCAAGGCATCACTCAATCCTCCTACTGGATCCATATACCCTACCTTAGAAGTATATCTTTATCTAAAACAAAATTAACAGAGAAAACATTTCTCAATCTACTAAATCTGAAATCACTACTCACTGTCTATAACTAAAGTCCAGGAAAAAACTGATTGCTTCTTGTAAACTGGAATCAAACTAAAGAAAAACTAAGTCTATCTTTATTAGATGAGAAATTGATTATTTATATTGAAGTGGAATGAGAACTGAAGAAAAGCTAACTCTATCTCACTAAATGGGAAAAATGATCTTTTTATTAAGATAAAAGGAAAAACAGAAAAACTAATTCTATCCCTATTGGGTGAAATAATTGATTATTTATTTTTGAATAGAATACAACTAAAGAAAAACCAAGTCTATCTCCACTAGATGGGAAAAATGATTATTCAAATTAGAATGCAATAAAACTAAGGAAAAACTAACTTTATCTCTTCTAGATGAGAAAACTATTTTTTTTTATTAAGATGGAATGAAAAATAAAGAAAAACTATATTTCTACTAAATGGAAAAAGGATTTTTTTAAAATTAAGATAGAATGAAAAACAGAAAAACTAACTCTATCTCTTCTAAACAGGAAAAACGATTTCTTTTTTATTAAGATAAAATGAAAAAAAAGAAAAACTAACTCTATCTCTATTGGGTGAAAAAATTGATTAGTTGTATTTAAATGAAATAGAACTAAAGAAAAACTAAAAACTATATTTCTACTAAATGGAAAAAGGATTTTTTAAAAATTAAGATAGCATGAAAAAGAGAAAAAACTAACTCTATCTCTTCTAAATGAGAAAAATGATTTTTTTTTATTAAGATGAAATGAAAAATAAAGTAAAACTAACTATATTTTTACTATATGGAAAAAATGATTGTTTTTATTACGACGGAATGAAAAAGCAAAGAAAAGCTAATTCTATCCCTATTGGATGAAATAATTAATTATTTATTTTTCAATGGAATAGAACTAAAGAAAAACCAGGTCTAACTCTACTAGATGGGAAAAATGATTATTCAAATTAGAATGCAATAAAACTGAAGAAAAACTAACTTTATCTCTTCTAGATGAGAAAACTATTTTTTTATTATTAAGATGGAATGAAAAATAAAGAAAAACTATATTTCTACTAAGTGGGAAAAGGGATTTTTTTAAAATTAAGATAGAATGAAAAACAGAAAAACTAACTCTATCTCTTCTAAACAGGAAAAACGATATTTTTTTTATTAAGATAAAATGAAAAAAAAGAAAAATTAACTATATTTTTACTACATGGAAAAAATGATTTTTTTTATTACGACGAAACGAAAAAAAAAAGAAAAGTTAATTCTATCTCGACTAGATGAGAAATGTAATTTATTTTTCTTTATTTTTTGGAGATAAATATTTTATTTATCATTATCACTTATTTTAAAGAATCATAAAGATAGATGTCATAGTATGACATCTGCCTTAAAGTATATGATCTGTATGATTTATCATCATATGGCCCATTATTGACCTTTGTTCGTTCCTCCCTATTCCATTGTGTGTTTGTTATAAGTGATAACAATGTTTATTGTGATGATTTTGTTGATATCAATATGGAAGCGTCACTTATGCTTTAGTATTAGACTAAATTTGTCCTCATTTTTCAGCTTTATTCACAATACTATTGGGTTCTTTTGTTTTTTTTCTAGACTTAATTATTTTTTTGTCACCAGTTTACAAAATTCACTAAAAAGATGGCAAGTAATCGTGCAGGAAAAGTAAACAAAGGAAGTGTAAATTCATCATCTACGAAAATCATTGGTTCTCGTCATCGATCGTCTGAAGCAACACATGTTTTATTACGTGAACTATCAACTCGAAAATTACTAGCTATTCAAATATGTTTCTTATCCGATGCAGCAAGATTAAAGCCGTTAACATCTGGACGTCATGTTTCTTTTCGTGATGGTAATGGAAGAGGTCAAAAACAAGGTGAAATTCTTATTGTCGGTAAGCTTTTAGCGTTGATTTCTTTGCTGTTCTCCTTATTGTTCATTTGTCTTGTATTTTTGTATTAGGTACATATGATGAAGTTGTTACTGAAATGAATAATCAAACAGATATGAATTTAACTGATAGCCCACAAAAACGACCACGACAAGATGATTCATTTGAAAAAAAACATAATCATAAACGTGGATTGCCATCTAATTCATCGATATCGTCAAATACAGTTGAAATGATTTTGACTCGATCACCATCACCATTTCTATCGATTCTTGATAAAGATGTTGCTGTTCCGTTGTCATCGCCTACTCCATCTTTTCCTGTTATAACACAAACAACAATCTCAAATTCATTACCGTCAAAAGAATCTACAACTGCAATCAATGAAACAACTATACAAGATAATACGACCAATACTGCTTCATTAATTGCTACACAACAATTAACACCATTACCATCTGGGTTATCACCATTAATACCTACACAAGCAAAAACTTCAATAAATCCATCTAGTACACGACCAGTAGTTGCATCAACAACAATTGTAAGAAAGTTAGCGTCTAGTGATGCTCTTAAAGAAATCAAACGTCTTCAATCATTAGTGAAATCGAAAGACGCTGAAATTACTAAATTAACCGAAGAAATGGAAAAATTAAAAGAGGAAGTAAAGAAAAATGCCGAATATTCTATTCGTAAGTTATCAAACATATTTTTCTGGATATTTATATTTCCTACTTTGTTCTTTTATTATAGTTCTTCCAACTGATGATGTAGTTATACAATGGGTAGATTATTTGTATGAATCGATTCATAAAGCAGAAATTCGAAATCAACTGGGTTTAGATACAGTAGCAACTGAACTGAATATTGAACGAGAATCATTAGATTTATGTTTGGAATTAGGTGGTAGCGATCGAATTAGTACAGCACGTCAAATATTTAAACAGTGTATAGATTATGATGAAGCTATTCAACAAGAACATTGTTGGCAAAATATAGATGAAGATCTTATTCTTAAAATATGTAGTAGGTGTTTGATCTTGATAGATTGATATTTTTTGAAAACTTTTAGATTCAAATTTCTCTTTTGAAACGAATATTTCTAACTATTTTGTTCACATACTGAATATTTAGCGTTTCTATTTAGGATTTGTTCGTGAATTCTTCGGAGTTAATCTCAAATTTGGTGATGATTATGTGCGTGAATCATTATCAAATATGATGAGAAAAGATTCCTGGAAGCTTCGTAATCCAGATAAATTAAAAACAAAAGTCAAACAATCAAGATCTAAACATCGTAAAACATCATCAAAACAAGGTGAAGAAACATATAGTGATGGCTATAATGGTTCAAGTTATGTTGGCGATGATGATGATGAACATTTCTAATCACTTCTCATTTTTTCTCTTAGCTTTTCTGTTGTGTGACAGATAAAGTCGTTGTATAAATGATCATTTTTTCTTTTTAAGTGGTCTTTCTTTTTTTCTCGTTTTGTGAAACAGTCGTTCTTCTTCGATATTTATAATTTAGCTTTCTTTTTTGAAACTTTATTCCTTTTCTTGGGCTAATTCCTTATGTGATAGGTTTGGTATCAGGCAGTTAGAATATTGTGTCATCAAGAAGAGACTATTAGATACTATAGACTATTTCAGTTAATGCTTCCAAAAAATACTGAAGAAAAAAAAAGCTCCTTTTGACAAGTCAATGTTATTGTACATCTCAATATTCTTCTTTTCTTGTTTTTACTTTTTTGTGTCTGATAACAAACAGTTTGTTTGTATAGTTTTCATATGCTATATTCTTACTATTGTATTGTCTTTATTAGATATTTTGAAGCGCATTTTTTTTTCGGTGACTGTTTTTTTTGTAAATATCAGCTTTTTATACATGAAAATGAAATGAAGTAAAGAAAATTCTCCTAAATAACCATTTTTTAAATCAAGCTACAATTAAAACAATATCGCTATCACACTAAACATTATAATGATTTATCGGGTTAGCCTCCTTTTAGATTTCTTTGATCATGGTAAACAATAATATCAGTAGATCATTAAAACGAGTTGGAATTGCAGAAAAAAAAATAATACGACGTCAATATAATAGAACGTATTATGAAACAACGAAACAACAACGACAAGAACAATATCATCAAATGAAAGAAATGTCGGTATTATTTAATCAATTTTATTGTTCCTGAAACGTGGTTGTGTATATTTTAGAACTAATTCTCAAACAAATTTTTTAACTATTCCATCAATAACAGAGTATGCTGTTGCAACAACAGCTTCAAATAATTATCAAAAAAAATGAAACAACAAATGATGATCCAAATATTGATAAAGAATTTTCGGAAGATACAGATTCTATTGATAACAACTATGAAAATCAACAACAGACTCAGATTAATTTTGACGAACCAAGTGCTTTTTGCTATGATATAGATAGTTCTTCAGGTGATGAATTTGATGCTAATTTTGATGATGATGAACACAATGCTGAGAATTGGGATACAGAGTTCAATGAAGTAAAGTTACAATTGAGGTAGATCGTCATTTTTTACCCATTTATGAACTCAACTGACTAATGTTTTGTTTTGTTTATTTTAGTTCACGACAATATTCTAAAATTGATATGGCAACATGCTTGTGTTTGTTAAAGAAACGTCATAAATGTTCCAATGCTCTCTTAGTGGACTTTATCTCTATGCTATACATTATTATACCTGGTGCAGAAAAAAAAATTCCCAAATCACTATTTGAAATTCGAAAATTATTGAAGATTATTGATGATAAGAAACAATCAACAAGGTCTATGTCATTATCCTCCTCATCGACTACGATAACTATATGTCAATCATGTGAAAAAATTGTTCAATCAACAGACAAATGTTCAAATATTGAATGTTCAGAACGTGTTGGTTTTAATTTAAAACCATACACATATACTTATTTTAATATCAGATGACAAATTGAACAAATGCTTCAACGAGAAACAAAAATAACTTTTCAAAAGACTTCAACATCAACAGGAACATCATCACCATCATGCATATTAACAGATATTAAAGATGGACGAATTTATCAAGATTTTTTGTCTAAAATGAATTTAAATTTACCTGATTGTCATTATATCACCCTCACATTGTCGACGGATGGTGTACAAATTGGAACATCCACAGAAAAAAGTCTATGGCTTATAACATTAACAATTAATGAAATACAACAAACAGAGCGATTTGCGTTACACAATGTAATTATTGGTGGTATAAATAGCTGTTTTAAAAAACCATCACGTGGAATAATGAGAATAATGATTGATCCTATTGTGAAAGAATTGAAAGAGCTCGAAAATCCAAAATGCTGTTATATTAATTCATTAAATGATGCATTTGAAATGTATTGTGTTCATTTACTTGGATCAACAAATGACAAACCTGCAACGGCTTTATTACAAAACATTGCAGAACCTACAGCTGCATACGGTTGTTCACGCTGCGAAATTAAAGGTATGAGACCAGCTAGTTAAATTATTGAAGATAATAGTGTTGTTTATTTTTGTCTTTCATTTTCAGGAAAAACAACATTATCAAATCCTTTTTTATCCAAAAAAAAATCAATAGCACAAGCTACAACATCGAATAAAAAAAAACATGCAAAGAAACACATCGTATTCGTGTCTTTGTGGTTGAAGAAGATCAACCCACACCAGAACTTCGTTCAGCTGAACATTATCAAATGGTTATGAAAATAATTCAAAATCAACAACTAGCTGTAGGAACTGATGAAGAACAAGATATTCGACGAGGTTATCTGGGCCCGTGTCTACTAACAGATTTAGCATTTTTTGATCAAGGACAAGGTTTTATGTCGGATAGTTTACATACACTTTATGGCGGAGCTATGGTATGCGACTTTTCTGTTTTTGCCCTTACCTAAAGTTCTAAATTGTTTTTTTTTTTGTGTTTATGTAGAAAAAATTATTATCATTATGGTTCGATCGTAAATGGCGTACTAAAGAAAAGCCATGGACCATTCAATCAAAAATATCAAACATCAATCGAACATTAAAATTATTTTGTTCACCATCAACAACTGTTCGTATTCCAAGAGATTTAAAAGTCTACAATAAATACAAAGCAAGCGAATATCGTTCAATCTTACTGGTTTTCTATTCCATTTTCGAAAATTTTTTACCAAAAAGTATTATGATCATTTCAAATTACTTGTTTTTGCATTGCATATTGGTGAAAATCGTGAAATTAAATACAAAGATTTAGAAACAATGCATTTATTATTAAATGAACATGTAAAACAATTCACATTCTTATATGGTGAACGACATTGTGTTAAGACAATTCATTCTATTATTCATTTTGCCGAGACTGTTCGTGATTATGGTCCATTACAATGTTATTCAACGTTCAATTATGAATCAATACTTGGTAAAGTTGCTTTTATTCCTTAAAAATGATCTAAAATAACTTAAACTGACGATAAAGCATATTTTTTGTTTTATTTCTATAGGAGCAATAACATCAACAATTCATGGAAGTCGAAAACAAGATAAAGAAATATTTAATAATATGGAAATGTTACGACAATCATCATATTTTGTCTTAGAAGAATGTCAAGAATCTTTATTATATGAATATATGTATAAACTAACTCAAACAGGACGTCGTAAATCGTTTTGTCCCGGTGAATTTACAACAAAAAAACCAATTCAATTAGAACAAGATGAAAAAAATTCTTTACAAAAATTTTATTCAACAGAAAAAATTCAAGTGTATTCTCGCTGTCAATATGAAAGTTTAAAATATTCATCTTACTGGGAACAATCAAAATTGGACACAGCTATTCTATTTCGCAAGAAGAATACTAATGAATTGAAATTTGCACTTATTGACAAATTTATTGTTTATGAACAATCGCCAAAACAATTATTTATTCAAGTGCACGAGTTAGAAGATGAATATTGTGATTCTGTAATTATAAACAATATTACAGTTAAAAATTCAAATACAGCTATTGGACAAATAAATTTTACATCAACAAAACAAATATTATCAACACAAATTGTTGAAAAAGTTTTTTGTCTTCGTCGAAAAGAAAATTTTTTGTTCATCCGTTTACCTAATGTAACTGAATCTTCATAATCTTCTTCGTATTGTTTTTCTGTTTTTTTTGTATACTGTTATTGTCTTTTTTTGTCAGTGTGCTATTTATAAATAAACATATCTTGACATCAACAAATAAAAACTTATTTTTAAAACTGATAATCATAAAAGAAGATTAAGGATTATGATGATCATTTTTCAGACAAGAAACAATCATAAAAAAACTTAATACATTGGAGAACTCTGAGAAATGCAGTGTGAACTGATAAATATTTTTCTCAATGTGGTGACTAATTTTATTGAACTTATGAAACGCAGAATAGGGGTGGACCATTAACATTAATCTTAAATTAATGTTAATATTTTTCATTAACATTAATATTAATGTTAATGTTTTTCATTAATCATTAATATTAACGGTTAATGTTTTCCTTTAAAAACTTAATTCATTAATCATTAATATTAATGATTAATGTTTTCTTGAAAAAACTTAATTCATTAATATTAATGTTAATGTTTTCATTAATATTAATGACTTAATATTAATGAATTAATGTTCTCATTAAACATTAATCGCCAATATTAATGAATTAATGTTCCCATTAAACATTAATTGCCAATATTAATGACTTAATATTAATGAATTAATGTTTAATGAGAACATTAATTCATTAATATTAAGTCATTAATATTAATGAAAACATTAACATTAATATTAATGGTTAATGAAATACATTAATTAATGTCATTAATTAAGTCCCGTTAAATTAAATGGTCCACCCCTAACGCAGAAAATACATTCTATTTTTTTTAAATTCGTTTTTGAATCCATGAGAAGCATACCGAAATTTGGAGAATGACAAAAAATACGTTGTTTTCTTTCCAAGAA